ACAAGTAGTCTTTTTTTTTTTAATAAGAAACCTGATATAGAATACACAAGTCTTCATTCAAATAAAATAAAATAAGAGTTCTAAATAGCTAAATCTTGAGAGCAAATAGTGGCCAGAGACTTTTTTACCTGCATGCATTTAGAATTGCTGAAAACGTGACGACATTTGGCTTTATTTCCAGCTCATGCATCTTCTTGAAGACACTCAAAATGGACCTAATCTCTTGCTTGCCTAGTCTTTCTTTCTTTGCAGGTCCTTCTTTCTCAGAAACAAGCTGCTGATAGAATTTGACCACGTGATCATCATCCCAATTCTCCATCTCACTCTCATCCACACCCTCAATCAACATGAAGGATGGGGTTTCCCTTTGTCTTTCACTAGCTGCACCAACAGCATCAACTAGAGATTCTACTGTTGTAGATCGACCAAAGGCATCAATTATAGAATTGTAAGTGACGACGTTAGGCCTAATCCCTTCTTTAATCATCTCATCAAGCAACGATACGGCAGAATCCACCAAACCATTTTTACACAAAGCATTGATGAGTTCACTGTAGAGAACTACATCAGCCTTCAATCCAGCCTGCTTGAATTCATGAAAGACCTCCATTGCTTCCTCGAATAGACTGCCTTTAGAGTATACATCAATTAATGTAGAATACGTCAACAAATTAGGAGTTACACGATCTCTTTTCATCTCCTTAAATACTCTAGTAACTTCATTAAATTTCCCCTGCTTTCCATACCCATCTAGAAGTGCATTGTAAGTAACAGCATCCTTTTTAACACCGGAACTCCCCATCTCCCTGCAAACATTCAGAGCGTCTTCAAACCTGCCAAGCTTGGCATAGATTGAAAGCAATGTATTATATGAAACCCTGTCCAAACCAATGCCCAGAAACTTCATTTCATTGTATAAGTTCAGTGCATCTTCTAATCTACCAGCCTTGGCGTATCCATCAGCCATTGTACTGTAAGTAACCACATTAGGCAGTATTTTCTTTGCAGGCATCTCTAACATAATCTCAAAAGCCAAATCCATCTGTCCGCCTTTGCAAACTGCATCCAAAAGCGTATTATACGTAAATATGTCCTGATCAATCCCTCTATCTACCATCTCGTGAAACAAGTTCCGAGCTGCCTCCCACAACCCGCCTCGACTACACACAGCAAGAAGTGAGTTATAGGTAATTCTATCAGGTTGAACCCCATTCCTCAACATTTCATCAAAAATCTCCACCACTCTCTTGAACTCTACTCCTCCTTTTCCACATGCATCAATTACTGCATTATAAGTAACCAGATTTGGCTTCAACCCTGAATCTTTCATTGATTCAAACACCTTAATAGCCCGGTCGAAGTAACCACTTTTCCCATAAGCACTTATCAGAGCTGAGAACGCGAAGACAGTGTTCCCATACCCCTCACTTAATGCTGTTTCAAAAACCCCCTTGGCCAGTTCCACTTTCCCAAGCCTACCAAGCGTGCTAATCATCGCACTAGCCAACTTACCCCGCTCATTCTTCCTTCCCTCTCTACCAAGCGCAAACTCAAAGCATCGGATTGCCTTCCAACATTCCCCTCTATTCCCAAGTTCCCGAAGCAAAAACGTGTAATCCTCCGACCCACAAAGCTTAGACTCGAAATTAAGCAGAACATTATCCAGACTTCCATCATCCTTACCAAACTGAAGCGCCTGGTGCAGAACCTCCTCAGCAATCACAGTGTGACGAGTGGCCATGGACGATTTGGGGCGTCCAAAGTGAAACTTAGAGACGAATCGAGTCGATCGGCGGCCTGAGAAATTGGAAGCGAGCTCGGATTTGGAAGCAGGGAGAGAGCAGAGAGAGGGGAAATTAGGGTTTTGTGAAATCGGAGTAGGAGTAGAAGAAGTGGATGATTTAGTCGCATTCTGGGCGGGACTCGCCGGCAATGGTTTGACAAGAGAGACCTTCTGAGTCGTCCAAGAGCCATTCTGGCGGGGATTTTGACGGTGGTTTTTGAGGTTATTTTGTGGGTATTGGTGGGTTTGGTAAGCCTTGGCCGTGGTGATTGAACAGTGCGGTGGAGTAGAAGCCATTTCAACGCCTAAAGAGAGAGGGAAAAGCAGCAAAAGAGAGGGAAACAACTTACAGTAGTCAAAGGGCAGCCATGAAGGCAGAGAACCCAGCTGGAATTCTGGATATGGGTGAAAGAGTAGAAGATAAGAGAGACAGAGAGGGCTACAGTAGAAGAGGGTGAGCTGAGATTGAGGAACTCGATGATTTTTGGAGTTCAAAATATCCACTTTGCTGCGATGTGTTGGCCATTTTAGGGGCTCATTGGATTCTCTGGCCCCATTTTCTTACATGTAATTGTATGCGTGGTAAGCAAGTTGAGCAGCTCATCCCATTATTACCACAATTGGCCACGAGAGTCAAAGGTTTTTGCCAAAAATATATCCTCCACCCAACTATTTTCAAGAATAATGTTTGAAAATAATTTCTGTCTCTTGTAACAATGCAGGTGTCTCTTGAAAAAACGAAGCGGTTTCGCTCCTCGCTTTTGTTCAATTATAAATAAATAACCATTTTGATGGAGATTTGTAGCATCATTCAAGTAAATACAGATTGAGATCGTAGAAACATGAGCTTGTGATATAGCTACACCTAATTCCAAACCGGTTAATGCAAGAACTATAAATAAAGGACCAGGATCTCCTATGAAATAGAAAAGATTATTCATACATAGCATAGTCCAAGCGGACCCACTTAAAATCTTTACTGAACTATGACCGGCCATCATATTAGCAAATAAACGTATTCCTGAGCTTAATGCGTGAAAACAATGAGGGATTAGCTCAAGGAGTACTAAAAAAGGTGCTAATGGCAGTGGACTCCTGCGGGTAATGAGAAACTGATGCGTACAATGCAGGTGTCTCAGTATGTCATCTATTGAAGAGACGATTATCGTTGCATGTTAACCACCTATTGTAGGTCGTCTCTTCAAGAGATGACTTGTAACTTTTTTTTTTCAAAATCTTCTGTGGCACCCAAGATTTTATTATTTAAATTTAACTCAAAAATCTATTTTTTAAACGAACTTTAAATTAAATTAAACTAAAAAAAATTTAGCAAAATCTTAAAATAAATCAAATTTAAAAAATTAGTTTAAAAAAAACCAACTATACATCTCTTCCTACACTGGTACATCCAAGCATTATTCTTGGAAATAGTTTGGGGGAGAATATATTTTTAGAAAAAGTTTCAAAAGAAATATTATTAAAAAAAAAATCCAAGATTTTACACCTAAATGGAAATATTGATAAAATATGGGGAAGGATGTTAATGAAAATGTTTAGAAAAAATATTTTAATTAAATAAATAAATATTTTACTATTTTTAAATAAATTAAAAAATCTTACTATTCTAGGGCTATTAATATTTTTATATTTTACCTACTCTGATATTGATTGTGTTCGACATATTTTGATATGCTTACATTTTGATACTTATGTTTAGTGTACGGATGATTAGACTAATATGAAATATTATATTGTTTTTATTAGGTAGTTTTTAAAAAAATTGTCTGAGGACGATTTAACTATGTAAATAAGAATTTATCATAAGAATTAARCATTTAATTAGAATTTCTTTAAAATAAATTTATTTAATTGAGAAACCCTAAAGAATTTCGTGGACACAGAATTAGAGGACATGGCCGCGAAATCTTCTTAGATTAAAAATCTCTTTAAAGAATTTTATGGGAGTTTGAAACCATTTAAACAAACTACAATTGAAACTAAACTAAAAAAAGGGTATTTTGAATAATTTAGCCTGAAATTAATTATTAAAAATAAAAATAAATCTAATAAATCCATTTTCTCTAAGTTTGCTTCTTTTAGCAACTCTTATAAGGCCAGTCGGATATATGAATCTTTAGAGAGARTGAATTCATGTCAAAACCAGCATGGCGGTATAATTTACATATATAATATAATTTGCTTACTYGATTTATAATGGTAAGTCAAACCCAAGTAATTCAAATTCGTAAAATTGTGACCTCAAGTGAGTGTATGAAAATCTATCACATAATTAAATAAACCAATACAAGTCTTAAAAGTGAGGTTGAGATCGAAAAATTTTGCACATTCAAAATTATCCAACACTTCCTTCAATTGTGAAGTCATCGAAAAACAAATTCAACATCCAAAACCAAATACACGAGCAACATTGTTTCGAGAGATTAACAAGGAAACAAATTCACATCTTTTCTGATATATTGAAAAATATATAAAATTTCAATTGCCTAAAGGAAAGCCTTTGGGCCTTTGAAAATATATATATAATTTCAATTGCTTGAAGGAAAGCCTTCGAGGACTCGAGTCGAGGAACATGAGCTTGAAGGGCTTTATACTATTGAGAGTGAATGACACTAATAAGGTTAGATGGAGAACATGATAAGAATTGTTTTCGGTGATGGGAAGAGAAAAGAGGTTGAAAGAAGAAAGGGTAGGCCAATTTTGCTTACTACCAAATATAGTACCAACCAACACTGCACGCATCATCTATCAAAAACTCCAAAAACTCGTCCGGGCCTTAGAGTGGGCGTGGGTGTCTCTAGGTATAGGGGAACAAAGTTCTGACTCCCCGTTATTAAACAAAAACAACGAAAATATTAAAAAAAAAAAAAACATCGATCTTTCAACTACAAACTGCAAAAACTAATTCATACAAGGACTAGAAATAAAGTGTTCTAAAATATGTGAATCAAGATGTGGAGAAGTACCAGACTACCTAGGTTTCTAAAGTTTGAATGGATGGCACCAAGAAGAGCGTAGGTAGCAAATGGTTATAGGAACATAGTACTTTACATTTCTACGGTTCTCACAAGAATTGTATGGGACGGACTTAGTATATCACTAAAACTTGTAAGAAAAATAACAGCAGAACGTCCTGGTGTCATACTTTCACAATTTATAAGACTCTTTTTCGAGATCTTTGTAAATTTTGAGGCAAAAATGACTAAAATTGCAGCACATTGATTGTTCCATAATGAAAATGAACCGAGTCCTTTCCATCTCTAATTCTGTTCCAAATAAGGAAATCAGTTAACTAGAACCTGAGGAATTCCTAGAAGAATGATATTAACATAAGCATGGAAGCAAATAAACGTTGCTTGAAGCCTAGAGATCAAAATTGTGTACCCTTGGACTCCCATCTTGACCAGTCATTGATCTACACGTCAAAATTTTATAACAAACATTGACCTCTAAGTTTAAATAATAAAGATTCTATGCCTACCGTGAAATTTTCCTCAGCTGCGTGAGGTTGCAAATTGAGCTGATCACAAATTTGACCAAATGGAAGTTTCTTGCATTCTAGACACTGAAAAACGGTTCTCAGTACGTCTTTTTCCTCAAAACTGGTCTCCGTGCTTCTTTCTTCGTAGTTGCAGTGAACCCAGATGTCGACGTGCCCACCGTGGCTTGGTAGAAATCTTTAAATCTTTAAACAAAGGATGGGTTAAAGCAATTACAATCTGAAAGTTTGCACAAGATGTCCAGGAAAATTGATTTGAAGCAAATTTATTCATGTTACCTTGGAAGGCTGACAAAAAGAATAATCACGAATATTCCGATAACGAGAGGGAGTACCGGTGCTGCAGTAAGGTCCTGCAGAACAAGAGATCACTTCAGTTCTTAAACTAGCCAATTGGAACTCTTTAAACAAGTACAAAATTAAGACGAACTTCAGCTGTTTCAAGACTAGAACAGAAGTATCTGGTAGAAGCCAGAGAGTAACACTAACCTGTTTCAAGAAATATTCTTCAAATTTGTATTTTAGTGGGCCCACGTTAATTTGATTATTCTCCTCCAAATCAGCCTCAATTATGCTAGACTCAAATTTGATGTTGCTTAACGGCTCACTTGATCGTAGCTGCACAAGGTACTTACCCTTGGGTAAGCCCTTTACCTGGAAAAAGTTCGAAAGTGGCAGGGGAAATACAGACTCGACTTTAGATATCTCACTCGTTGACTTGATTTCCACTTGCAAACCCGACTTTAGTCCCTCGATTTTCTTTCCTTCAACATGGCCACTCAAAATGGTCAATTCAGGGCGTTCAAAGACCAGAAAATCCAATCCCTTAATATCCCCTGATCCAACCTACCAAAATCAAAACGATACATAGATTTTAGATAGAGAAAACAGTAAGCTCTAGAAACGGTTTTATTTGCATGTGCTTTACGAATTTCCCGTATAAATTGGCTACATCAAACCTGGACAGTAATTGCTCCAGGAGATGCACGCTCAATTCTGGCAGTACCCTGATCCTCTCTTTGTGCTACTCTTATTGTGTAAGTTGTCTCAGGGAGCAGTCCCCTCAAACGATAACTTCCAGATGCATCTGTCTTCGTTTCCTCATAATACCCCTTTGATTCTGATCTGGCTTCAACTGAAACACCTTCTTTTGGTTGGCCAGATAATAGAGTTACCACGCCTGTAGCACTGTATAAGTTTAAGGGAACGACTTTAGCATCTTGACATACCACAAAATTTATCTACATTCAATGTATTTCACCACAAAATGAAATTTCTTCCTTTCTAGAGGATGGAATAGTTGAAAGGTGTCACCTAAGGTTTTAATCTAATAAGCATGTACACTATTTAATAAAAGTGCTGGTATCCAACTCGTGACTCGGAGTTTGATTTTTCCTTTTTTTTTTTTTAGTTTTTGAAATCTCGGACACAACAGAGACACACAAAGAACACGCTACGTGCAGATGAGGGACATGTTAGGACTCAGGCAAGACATGTGGAGGGCACATCTTCAGAGAAAAGGGGCAAAAATATTTAAAAGTGACTAACTATTTTTCAGGGTGCAAGTTTATATCTTTAATCCGTTAATCATATAATTCACAGTAAATGTTAGCATTAATATTGTAAAAAATTTAAGGAGTGACCTCTCTCAAAGTACTCAACCCTACTTCCAAAAACACTCAATAAATATGAAGAAAAGGTTCACGATCGAGGCAATAAGAAACCTGTAAGCCACACGGGTAGCCTGGAAACTAACTTCTCTGGATTCCCCAGAATCAAGTTCAATTGTCTGAGCTGAAGGTGAGAAAGCATACTCCTGCGAAGCAAATTATCAATTTAGCAGAGTAGAAACTACAACATAAGTTCATAACACTTCTAAAAGAACCATTAGTTTCAAAACTGTCAGATTAGCCTGTATTTTGTTTTCAGCATTAAGTGACAAATTCAAGTAATATTATCAAGCCATCTGAACACCAAAAACCTCCAAATGTATGATATTCTTACAACTGAATACTAGTACTCCAATATATTAGTATTCTTACAACTTCACAGACTTATATTATGTTTCACAAGAAGGTGGCTTCCACGAAAGGCATTCTGAACCCCAATCATTCGTGGCTAACCAAAGTTACAAAGGAGTTTTGTGATATTATGTTTTTCTTTTTCCTATAAAATTTAAGGATTACTTTAGCAGTCTTTTCATAGTCTAGAAAATATCTTTTTCCCCTCCATCTACTGTAATAATCTTTTCATCAAAAAAAATTTTAGAAGTTTTTTTTATAAGAAATATTTTCATCAAAATGAAAGTAAATAACTATTAGCTGGGACTAAGAAGATCAAACTCAATCATTGTGAAAAAGAAATCTTTTCTACTTTTTAAGTGACAATTATGTTTGAGAAATATAACAAGAGAGAGGATGAGATGCCATCCATTAAAGAAAAGGAAAGTTACAACAAATTAGACCATATAAAATACTAAGAAAAATGACCAAATGTGAAAAGTAGGTTCTTTCCCCAAAAATTCCCAAACAATCAAATTGTCTTAAGCAAATGTGGTGGATACTTTTGAATGAGGACAAATCATCTACAACAGAACATTTAATATCCAAATAAAGGACCCAAGAATTAAAAAATGAATATTCAGTTGATGCTAAAGCCTTGTACCACCAGGATGCCCCAACTACTGTGTTAAACTACCATAGATACTAATCTGAATAGTTCACAAATGAATCTTTTATGATCCAGAGTGCTGCAACGTCACTAAGCTTTGTGTAAGATATAGACTAACCAAGCATGCATAATCAGAAAATATGACTAGGGAAAAAACGAACCGATCATTTTAAATAAATTCTTCAAGTACCTTCAGTAGCGGACGTAAATAGAAAGTTCCAGGGAAAAGGTCATTGAAAAGGAATACTCCACCCGCACCAGACACTGAATTATTTCTATAACCATTGTCACCACTCAGAGATAATAGTACTGAAGGAATAGGTTCTTCACTATGATCTTTAGAATATATTTTCACAGAAATTTGACCAAGCTTCTGAGATGAAAATGAATAAGGTCCAACGTGTTCCAGGTGAAAACCGGGCTGAAAATGAAATTTAGCAAAAATGAGAACAAATGGCAAAGATGGGAAACAGATGTTATGTCTGAACAGAAAAATTAAAGATGTAAAACTAATTTACCATTTTGCTCATTTCGAAGAGAAAAGAAGATCACTTTACAATCTTTCTTTATCAGTAAAAAAATGGAGTTGAGAGATAAGAAAGCAAAGCACAGTGTGCACATGCAATTAACATATTACAGTTCAAGTCCTGGAAGTAATGAACTAAATGGTGGCTCACTAATCAATTTAGCATGCGTGTGCAACCTGAGTAAATTTGTTTTATATGCGTGGTAAGAGTGAAATCAGAATAACGATGAGTAATTTCCAGTCATGGTAATCAATAGAAAGAATGGTGCAACCTAGAACTGGAATTCTCCAAGAATATTACAATTCTTTATCCAATACTAAAAGTCGTGACTACATGAACTAGCAACCCATTCACAGGTGCTGCCATTTAGCCAACGAGCTAACTACCAGAGTAACTGAAGTAGCCGTTTTGGATAGTTTTAAAAAGGTTTAATGATATAAGCTTAGTTTATAGGTTACAAACCCTTTTACTGTATAGTAACTACAAGTTACTATTGTTTGTTAGCTATTGTTAGTTACTTTAGTTACTGTTAGTTGTAATGCCTGTATCCATCAAATTGGTATCAGAGCTCCCAAAAAAAATCTATGGGCACTTGATGGCAGGAAAGAAACCGGCGATGGGAGAAAATTCTTCCATAACCAGCAAGGAAACGGATCAACCAGCCATTCTCTCACCACAGGCAGTCACCAAACGCTTGCAGTTGGTTGACGAGGAGATTAAGAATTTGCAAAGTGATGTGGGTGAGATTAAGCAAATACTAGGAATGATACATCAGCAATTGGAGATATTGAATGTCAATCAAGGTGTAGCACGGAATACCCAACCTCTAAACCCCCAAGAGTTAGCCAAGCTGTTCGGGAGGATGATCGCCAGGGCATTCGTATTCAAGAAAGACCTGCAGCACCTCCAAGATTCCATCAAGAAAGGGGGCAAGACTTGAATGGAGCTCCAAGATTACATCAAGATTACCGACATCACCATCAAGAAATTAATCATAACCCTCTGTTTCAAAGGCCACATGATCTTTATATGGATTTTTCGAGTGACGAGGAGGATGATTATTTGGAGATAGATGACAATCAACGAGGATTTCAAAGGAGACCGGTTAGACACCACGATGCACCTGATTTCAAGATGAAGATTGGGCTCCCTACATTCAGCGGCAAGATGGAAATTGAGGGATTTTTGGAGTGGGTCCGGAACGTGGAAAATTTTTTCTCTTACATGAACACTCCAGAAGATAAGAAGGTACGCCTCGTTGCTTTCAAACTTAAAGGGTGGTGCATCTGCATGGTGGGATCAATTAGAGGGCAATCGGCAACGGTATGGTAAGGGGCCTATCCGAAGTTGGGAACGTATGAAAAGATTAATGAGAGAACGCTTCCTTCCCGTCAATTTTGAACAGATTTAATATAATCAATATCAAAATTGCCGACAAGGAACTCGTTCCATCGCTAACTATACCTAAGAATTCCACTGGTTAGGTGCAAGAACTAATCTTTTAGAAAGCCAACAGTATTTGGTTGCAAGATTTGTTGGTGGACTAAGGGCGGACATCAAAGAAGTAAGAACAAATTGCATTGCAACCAATTGGGTACCTTAATGAAGCCATATCCATGGCAACCACTATTGAAGAACAAATCAATAACCGGTATAAGAAGACGTACATTCAGAGAAACACTTGGGACCAAGGGGGTTCCTCGAAGAAAAATGTTGTAACTTCAGACAAGACTTCTGTACCAACAGTAGGGGGTTCCTCCAAAGGAAAGAACATAGCCAATGACGTTTCTGCAGACGACAAACCCGCAGACATAGCTACCGGCAAGAAGGTAGGTAATACATATAACCACCCAACTTTGGGCAAATGCTTTCGATGTGGACAGGTGGGGCATCTTTCGAATGAGTGTCCACAAAGAAAAGTTGTTACCTTCATTGAAGAAGAGAACCAACCGGACTATAGTGAGGAAGAGAATCCAGAAGATGACATTGAATACATAGTTCCTGATGAAGGTGAGCCCATCAATTGTGTTGTCCAACGCCTCCTTCTCACCCCAAAAGTTGAACCAGCCTACCAACAACATGCTTTATTCAAATCTCGCTGCACTATCAAAGGTAAAGTTTGTAACTTAATCATTGATAGTGGTAGCAATGAAAACATTGTTGCTAGTAAGCTAGTTTCAGCTTTACATTGGACGTTACATCCCTACAAAGTTTCTTGGATAAAAAAAAGGTGGGGAGCACAAGTCACACACACATGTACAGTACCTTTGTCCATGGGAGCTAGTTACAAGGACCAAATCGTGTGTGATGTTTTGGATATGGACGTTTGCCATATTCTCCTTGGTAAGCCGTGGCAATATGATACGCAAGCAGTCCATAAGGGACGCGATAATACGTACGAATTTTGTTGGATGGAAAAACAGGTGGTTTTACTACCTATCCCTCCATCTAAAACTACACCTTCAAAAGAAGGTACATCAAAAACCGGTACTTTATTCACTTTATCCTCGGCAAAACAACTATTAGTACATAAGGATATGCCTGTTCTTGGACTTATAGTCAAAAGTTTCGGGATTTTAGAACAACCATATTCCATTCCAACCGAGGTGGAACAATTGCTTCTTGAATTCAAGACTATTACAGACACCCCTACGGGTTTGGCCCCCCTTAAGGGATATTCAGCACACTATTGAATTCTTTCCCGAGGCTACTTTGCCTAACCTAGCTCACTACTGAATGAATCCAAATGAATACAAAATTCTACACGATCAAGTCCAAGAGCTCCTTGTAAAGGACACATCCAACTTAGTTTAAGTCCTTGTGTTGTGCCCGCTTTGCTCACTCCTAAGAAGGATGGCACATGGCGAATGTGTGTGGATAGGAAAGCCATAAACAAAATAACCATAAAATACCGCTTTCCTATTCCCTGCATCAATGACCTCTTGGATCAACTTAGTGGTGCTACAACATTTTCAAAGATCGACCTTAGGAGTGGATACCACCAAATCCGAATACGATCGGGGGATGAATGGAAGACCGCGTTCAAAACAAATGAAGGTTTGTTTGAATGGCTTGTCATGCCGTTTGGCCTATCCAATGCCCCATGTACTTTCATGCGCCTTATGAACTAGGTATTACTCCCTTTTATTAATAAATTTGTCGTAGTCTACTTTGATGACATACTTATATATAGTCCATGCATGTCAGACCATATCATCCACCTACGTAGGGTTTTTTCGGTCCTAGCCACTAATAAGCTAGTAATAAATCTGAAGAAGTGTCTTTTTGTAACTAGTGAGATATACTTCCTTGGTTTTCTTATAGGATACAATAAAGTAAAAATGGACCCTCAAAAAATAAAGGCTATAGTTGAATGGCCAGAACCAAAAACATTAAAAGATGTTCAAAGTTTCCTCGGCCTTGCCTCTTTCTACCGGAAATTAGAAACTTTAGTTCCTTAGCTGCTCCATTAACAAACTGACTAAAAAAAGGGGCCATTCCTTTGGGGACAAGCTCAAACCGAAAGCTTCACTATAATCAAATCCATGTTAAGTAGTAGTCCTGTCCTTACATTACCTAACTTCGACCAACCTTTTGAAGTTTCGGTGGATGCCTCGGGTATTGGGGTAGGAGCTGTACTTTCCCAAAGTAACCATCCGGTTGAGTATTTTAGTGAGAAACTAAGTCCCTCAAGACAAAAATGGAGTACATACGAACAAGAACTTTATGCTTTGGTTCGGGCCTTAAAACAATGGGAACACTACCTCCTAGGTAAAGAATTTGTCCTTCTCACTGATCACTTTTCCTTAAAGTTTTTACATACACAGAAATCCATAAGTCGTATGCATGCACGTTGCCTATCATTTTTGCAACAATTTGATTTTGTCATTAAACATACATCGGGAATTAGCAATAAAGCAGCCGATGCTTTGAGTAGAAAACACAGTCTGCTTACTTTACTAAAAGGTGAAATAATAGCTTTTGACCACCTCCCTGATACTTATGCTACGGACCTAGATTTTCGGGACGTATGGCAAAATTGTACAAATCAGATAGCTTCAAGTGACTATCATATTTTCAATGGTTACCAGTGTTTTCGAGGCGCAAGGCGCACCGCAAGGCGACAAACCCTTTAATTGCCTTGAGGCGAGAGGCGATACGAAGGCGACGCCCGATTGAAGCGAGGCGCACCTTAATAAATAAGTAAAAATTATATATATAGTGCTTAAATTACCTTAAAAAATCAATACCAAAATAGTAAATGTCAACAATACAAAAAATCAATACCAAAAATACTTTAGGTGAAAATATTTGGTGCAAATAAATTTTAACTTAAATAATTAAGAAAAATTAAAAATATAAATTTAAAAAKAAATTAATAAAATTAGTGGTTAAGTGGAATACTAAAATTAAATCATAAATTAACTTAAATAAAAAAAAATTATTGYCATCTTTCCCTTTTGCTTCCAGATGGCAAGATAAAATTGCATGCAATTAATGTGCATGCCTTGAAAACGTAAATGGAATAGGAAAAGTYTCAACCAAGCATCAAATCCCCATATCTTTTATTATATTTTTCAATTCTTCTTCTACTTCTACTTTTCCAATTCCTCTTCTTCTTCATCTCTAATTCTTTTTTCCTGATTCTTCTTCTTCATCTCTAATTCTTCCTTTCCGAGCACCTACGTCGCCCTAAATACATCTTCATAGGTGAAACTAAATATTTTGATTGTCTACGAAGAAGGAGAAGGAAGGCATGATGGCTTCATATCGTGCAATGAGTGGGGGCAAAGGCGGTAGCAATGGCAGCAGCAAAGGATGAAGCGGCGGTGAAAGA